CTAAAATTGCTTATGAATTATGTACGGGCAAGACGCCTAGTATAAAGTATTTACACATTTGGGGTTGCCCAGCTAAGGCGAGGCCTTATAGGCCAAATGAAAAGAAACTAGACTCAAGAACAGTCAGCAGCTATTTTGTTAGGTACTCTGAACGCTCTCGACAAATTTCATGATCCCACAACTAGGTCCTTCTTTTGGACGGGAAATGTCCAGTTCTATAAGGATATTGAGTTTGGGGAGAAAGATAAGGTTAGAGACTTTGTCTTTGAAGAGAAATCTGCTTCTCTTCCTATGATTGTTATTGACAATGATCAGGCTCTTATTCCTGAGGTTGTTGAAGAAGCAATACCAAAACCACAAGACAATGTTAAAAATCTCCTGAATCAAGGTCAATAGGTTATTCCTGAAGTACAAACTCAACAACCTCAAGAACAATGCCATTAAGGAGATCCACTAGAGAAAGGAGAAGTGTAGTTTCAAATGATTACATCATATTTCTCTAAGAATATGAGGATGACACTAGATTGGTAGAAGATGATCCAATCAACTTTCATCAAGCCATGCAAAGTACTAATTCTTAGAAGTGGATTGATGCCATGAATGAAGAGATTAACTCCATGAAAGAGAATAACGTTTGGGAACTCTTCCCATTGCCTGAAGGTGTGAAGCCCATTAGTTGGAAATGGATATTTAAAACCAAGAGGGATTTGAAGGGTGATGTGGAAAGATATACGGCTCGTTTTGTTACAAATGGCTTCACTCAAAAGCAAGGCATTGATTATAATGAGACTTTCTCTTCGGTTTCATCAAAAAAACTCTGTCAGGACAATAATGGCATTAGTGGCACATTTTGACCTTGAGTTGCATCAGATGGATGTAAAGACTGCCTTTCTCAATTGTGACATTGATGAGACGATTTACCTGGTGCAGCTAGAAAACTTTGTGCCGAGAGATTCAAAGAATATGGTTTGCAAATTTAAGAAATCTATCTATGGGCTTAAGCAAGCTTCCCGTCAATGGTATTACAGATTTCATCAAGTTGCCATCTCGTTTGGTTTTGAGATGAATGCGGTTGATGATTGCATATACCACAAGTTCAGTGGGAGTAAACACATTTTCATGGTTTTATATGTCGATGACATACTGCTTGCCAGCAACGATATAGGTTTGTTGCACGAAACCAAGAGATTTCTATAACAGAAATTTGAGATGAAAGATCTTGGGGACACATCTTTTGTATTGGGAATTTAGATACATCGAGATCACTCTTAGAGTATTCTTATATTATCACAAAAGAGCTATATTGAGAAAGTACTTAAGAGATTTGACATGTAGAATTATAAACCAAGAGACACCCCTGTTGCTAAGGGAGATAATTTAAGTCTCGATCAATGCCCCAAGAATGATTTTAAAACTAAAGAAATGCATAAGATTCCATATGCTTCAGCAGTGGGAAGTATAATGTATGTTCAAGTTTGTACGCGTCCAGATATTACGTGCATTGTTAGGATGTTATGCAGATATTTGAGCAATCTGGGAATGGATCATTGGAAAGCAACCAAGCAGGTTTTGTGGTATCTTAAGAGAATAAAATATTACATGCTCACATACAGGAGGTCAGATAAGTTAGAGATCATCAGGTATTCAGATTCTGACTTAGCTAGATGCCAAGATAGTCGTAGATCCACTTCAGGCTATATTTATCTACTTGTTGGAGGAGCTATCTCCTAGAATAGTGCAAAGCAGACACTCATAGCTTCTTCTACCATGGCAGTTGAGTTTATAGCATGTTATGAGGCATCCAATCATGGAATATGGCTGCAAAATTTTGTCACAGGGCTGAGAATTATTGATAGTATTGAAAGAACACTTTAAGTTATTTTGTGAAATAAGTCAGCAATCTTATATTCCAACAACAACAAGAGCTCAACTAAGTTGAAGTATATAGACATCAAGTTCCAAGTTGTTAAGAAAAGTTTACAGTGGTTAGGTGTCTATAGAGCATATTGGCACAAACTCCATAGTTGCGGATCCGCTTACTAAAGAGCTACCACCTAATGTCTTTCATGAGCACATTGCTCATATGGGTGTTGTATCATTTGATGATATGTTGGATTAGTGGGAGTCTGTATTTATATGCTTTTCTATTTTAGACACATCTTATGTTTATGGATATTTTCTGTAGAAATAAATTATTCAGTTTATTTTCGCTCTGATTTCGTTTTAGTATGATCTCATAAAGAATAAAGTTAGACCAGTTAGAAATAGGCATGTTTAGATCATATTGCATGTAATTTTCATGCTACAAATCCATACTTGATCTATTTTGTTTGGTTATGTTGACATACGTGACCATGGATGGGTCTAGTTACAATACATGTTACGAATATCGCCTTGATCCTATGTTAACATAATTTATGGACGAGATTGTTCAGAGATGCTTTTGATCATGATAGCAAAGATTTTGAGCTTATAAGGTTATATTGTGATATACAATTATAAAGTGATATATATATATACATGTATATATGTAGTCCAAGTGGGAGATTGTTAGATTTTTTAGACATGTATATATATAATAATAATAATTGTGTATTATATGCTATCATAAAGGTTTGACCTAAATTAAAAGTGATCTTATAAGGTTTAAAGTTAAATGGGCCTAAGTCATCTCACAAAGTATGGGATTTTATGTGTAGAAACCCAAATGTCTAATTTCTAATTTATGATGGGATAAAATTAGAAATAAAAAAAGTGTGTGCAGATATAAATGGTTGTGGTCCCCAAATTATACGTATGATACTTTTCTAACATCCCACATTAGAAAAGTGAGAGCCTCCTTCTCTAGATAATTCATACGCATTAATTTGGAAGATCAAGAACTGCAAGATTCAAGAATCACATCTGTTCCTATGGATTCAGTTACGCTTCTGCATTTATTCTATTCTTCTTGATGATTTGGCATGAAGGATCTTGGTATGATGAAGGTTTTCATCTATAAAGATTATTATAACAAAATATTCTAAAAAACTGAAATTTTAAAGTTAGTTGGAGGGTTTGTTCATGTTTATTTGGAAAACACTTAGCATGCAATTAACAAAACCAGAAAATATCCTTAATGTTCATAAAACATCACAGCATGGAACCAAACTAATCAATCAAACTCAGTTTATAAGCGTTGAGGATTCTCACCTTTGAAGAAACAACAAGATTTAGCTTTGTTTGGTGATGAACTCGCAACTCGGAGTAGGGAAATCATTTTTGACTTGATTGACGGATTTGGTGGTGTTAGAACATATGAGACAATCATCCAAATCCTGAGTTAGAGCTCAAACGTCAAATGAAATCAAGCAAAGAACGAGTTTTGATGAGAAACTCCACCAAGACAGATTGCAAGAACTCCTATTCTCGGATTAGATTTGAAACCAATTTTAGAGACGTTTCTAGAGCTCATAAATCATCTACAACTCTATGAAATCGAAGGTGGTGTTAGTTCTACATGTTGGGGGAAAGAGTTAGGATTAAAATTTGTGTTTTGAGGGGTTTTTGATTGGGTTTCTGCGGGTTCTCTTAAGAGTTGAGGGTTTGTTTTCTTTTTCTAATAAATAGAGAAAGAGAGAGAGTGTGAGTTTGATGATGTTTTGAAGTATCGGCAAGTTCTCTCACTTTCTTTTCTTACTCTTTTTAATTAAATTCTAGAATGGACTAATTTTCTATTGGTGGTGTTGGGTGGTCACTAAAAATCACCCAATCAGAAACTTTCTTGAAACTCAACAGCTTTCAAAAAGTAACCTGACTATTTTTAAAATTCATATTTTAGGCCAACTCATTTTCAAAATAATATATATATTTTTGACACCGAATTTTTGCAAAATTGCAAAAGTTGGCCAAATAGAATTTTATGAAAGTTACCTTCTTGACTAATTTCGACGATCCAATCAAGATTACAGCGTTACAAATTCCATTAAGAATTTAATTTTATGAGATTTGCTCCATTTATTTAACTATCACAGGAAAATATCCGCAAACGTCATGTTTAACAGATCGCGTGTGAATCAAGGAAATTAAATCTCATTAGAGTTATCATGAAAATCATATATCACACAAAAGTCATGAGAATTATCAAAAGCCAATTACAAAAATTAACGAGTAAGGATAGAGGGCCTTACAAAAGTGGTATTGACATATAATTTTTACTCCATTTTTCACACTTTATTTTCTAATATCTAGATAATTATGTTGAGTTAGTTTTGAAGGCATCAAAATGGTATCCATATTACATTTTTCAGTCAAATTTTTCACTTTAACAGTCTTTTAATATTTAGATCTTTGTATTGAGTGAGTTACGGGGGCATTAAAATGGTATCCATGTATCATTTCCACTCTAATTTTTTCACTTTAACAATTTTCTAATATCTAGATCATCGTGGTGAGTTTGTTTTTGAGGCATTAAAACAGTACCAATATACTATTTTTCACTCAAATTTTTTCACTTTAATAGTCTTTTAATATCTCAATATTTGTTATTGAGTGAGTTTTGCAGGCATTAAAATGGTGTCAATATAAAATTTTTATTCTTTTTTTTTCCTCTTTAACAGTTTTTTAATATCTAGATAATTGTGTTGAGTTAGTTTGAAGGCATCAAAAGGTATTCATATACCATTTTAGTATTCATAAAGCTGCTTTAATATTGGAGTAAAATGGTGTCAATACAAAAGCTGCTTTAATATCAAAATCTTTACTTACGAGAAGAAATCTATTTCACCATTCATAAAGCTGCTTTTTAGTACGTTGTGCGGGTGAAAAATGAGGGAGAAAGAAGTTGGCTGGGTTGGTAGAAGGCCCATGAACGGGGCTGGATCTAACTGAGGCCCAAAGCTGTGAAGAGTGTTGTAACTCTTTACTTTTTTTATTTTTTATTCATCTTTTATTCGAGACTCATATTAAATTCTCTAATTTTTTTTCTTTAGAATTAGGATTAGGATGAGGTGTGTGTTATTTGTCCGTAAGTGACTTGCTCAGTTTTAAGTCCAAGTTGTAAGAAATAAATTAAGGGGGAATTATTAAATTGAAATAAAATAATGATGGGGTATGTATTTAGATCGTATTGTATGCAGAGAAATTGATAAACATGGGTTGGGTTTGGTTTGGTTTGGTTTTAATGGAAGTAAATGAGTAAAAGTAGACAGACAGGAGAGGATTGAGGCCGTCTTTGGACTGAGGAGGGAGAGTAGTTGGTGGATCCATTAACATCACCATCACAGAGAGAGAGAGAGAGGGTTAGAGAGAGAGAGAGAGAGAGAGATCCGAGTTTCATATCATTCATCTTCTCATTTCTGATCAGAAACAACAATAATAATTAAGAAAAAAATGGGTAGTTGTTATTCGAAAGCGCAGAGGGAGAGAGAGGAAGAAAGCGGAAGGAGAAGACGGAGAGTGTTTAAGATGAAAAGGAAGAAACGGGAAGTCGGAGGAGAAGAAGATGAAGAAGAGGGAAAGGGGGTTTCTCATTCTGGAAACTTGGGGAATGGTGGTGGGAGCAGGATGTGTTCCAACGCGGCCTCGAAAACAGGGACGGGGTGTTTGTATACGCAGCAAGGCAAGAAAGGCACCAATCAGGACGCCATGCTCCTTTGGGAGGTTAGTTTAACACACTCATTATTCATTTCCATTTGATTCTTTTCCTTTTTAACTAAATTCTAAAACTAAACCCTTTTTTCCTTTTCTTTTTTTTTTAGTACTTAACTTCTACTTGATTTGATTGCTTAAAACTCAAAAAAAAAAACGTAACGTAAAAATATCATAACTGTGCTGGGATTTATTTTAGTTTTGAAAGAAAGACCCAAAATCCTAAAGTGGGAGATGCTGGGAGAAAGGGAGGGGAAACAGGAGGACATATGCCGTATAACAAGTATAGGGATCGATTTCACTACTTGTTCCTTTTAAGTAAATTTTTCATTCCATTTGAGTATTCTTCTATTCACCCCCCATGTCCACATACATAATAATATAAGTCATTACAAAGTCAAACAACAACAACAACAGCATCACCTTTCCTTATATTTGTGTCAGTCCTAGTCCTTCGATGCCAATACTTCTCTTCCTGCTTTAATTAATGAATCATCAACAACCTTTCCAGCTTGTGTGATAACTGAGATGCAGTTATAAGGATCTCTACGCTTCTGATTCGAAAGTCATATCCGAGCTTCCTTCACTTGTTTACTAAATCTACAAACTTATCTTCAAACGTTCTTTTAACATTTAACTTCATCATGTTCCTTTATTATTCCAAGTAATTCTATCACCAACAAACTCCATTGGGGAAAAACGAGCAATCATAATGGGCAATAATGTCTCCATTTCTCATTCAGATCTAAGGGCACCTCCTTCCTTATCTTCAATCATAAGTATGACTTTGATTATACCTTTGCTGTCCTCCATTATAATGCTGGTTGCTTGTGCTGATTATCCTGATTCTTCCTGTTGTTATTCTGACCAGTTACTCCAAAACGAAAGAAAGTGGAGAGACAATATTTCTGAATTTCCTCATTTTTCACTCATTAATAGAAACTAACAAACTAACTAATCAATTATTACACCCTCTATAGCCTATACAAATAGAACAGTTGTACAGCTAATCTAACTAACTCGCTAACAGAACCAACTTCTCTAACACTCAGAATAACAAGAGAATTGAGAAAGAAATCAAATAAACTTTTGCTACTCTTATTCAAAGAGACTTTTAAGAGAAACGATTTAAGGCGGTTTTCTCTTTAACTTCTGCAGACCGCCCCTCACTCATGATTGATAAATTGACATGTAGAAGCCAAAGTCATTAAGTGAATAGATTAGTTGCAACTAATTACGTACGGAATTAACGAGGCTAATTACAAAATATCTTTACTTAATAATGTTACATGTGATTACTTAATTAAAATATCTCTGGCATAGAATTTCAGTTCAAGGAGTGATACCATATTTTGCGGCGTATTTGATGGGCATGGTCCTTTCGGTCATATGGTGGCCAAGAAAGTCCGAGATTCTCTTCCTATTATACTATCCACTCAATGGAAATCACATTGTAAAAATGAAACTTCCGATGCTGCCATGGATTGTGCACAAACTTCACCTCCAATGGACGACGAATGGTGTGAGCCATTGGAGCAAAATGAAAACCTCCCTGAGATGTATGTTGCTCTCAGACAGTCAATGTTGAAGGCTTTCAAATTGATGGATAAGGATTTGCAATTTCACCCAACCATCGACTGCTTCTGCAGTGGAACAACTGCCATTGCCTTGGTAAAACAGGTATGTGAGGCTACTAGCCAAGAAATTATGACGTCTTCTATGGAAGTTTAGATCTAACCAGTCATGATATGGTGTAATTTCTAGTAATGTTGCTTGGTATTACAGGGTCAGCATCTTGTGATCGGAAATGTTGGTGACTCGAGAGCAGTTCTTGGAATGAGAGACAAAGACAACGCTTTGGTTGCTGTACAGTTGACTGTGGACTTGAAGCCTGATCTTCCTGGTCTCTATCTCTCTCTCAACACATGGATGCTCACTTGCACACTCTTCACCTCCAAACATCAAGCTTTTCTCTTGAATGTCTTATAAATATATGGATATATATATTTTTTTTTTTCTATTATTAGGGGAAGCTGCTAGGATCCAACGATGCAAGGGACGGGTTTTTGCATTGCAGGATGAGCCTGAGGTTGCGCGGGTGTGGTTGCCAAATAATGACTCGCCTGGTCTTGCAATGGCTAGAGCTTTTGGGGACTTTTGTCTCAAGGATTTTGGTTTAATTTCTGTTCCAGATGTTTATTATCACCATATTACTGAAAGAGACGAATTTGTCATTCTTGCAACCGATGGGGTATCTTTATCTTTTCTCTTATTATTTTGTTCCTCCTCTTTTTCCCCCCTTTTGAAATATGTTCCTCCTTTTTTGTTCTCTTGGATTCCAAGTGAAGCAGTAAATTCACCCCTTGCAGGTTTGGGATGTTCTCTCAAACAAGGAAGCCGTGGATATTGTGGCTTCAGCACCCGGTCGCACAACAGCCGCGAGAGCCCTTGTGGACTGCGCTGTTAGAGCCTGGAGGCTTAAATACCCCACTTCGAAGAACGATGATTGTGCTGTTGTCTGCCTCTTTCTAGAAAATGTATCTTCAGGCAGCACAGCTATTGTGGAGGATAATAGGACAACGAATCATGCAGCGGCATCAGAAAAGACAGAAATAGCTGATAAGAGTACTAGTGGGGGTTTGGAAGTTAATGGATTTCATCCTTTTGTTCTTGAACATTCCGGAACTCAAGGGAGTTCAAATGAGATTGTGGCGGTTTCGGAGTTGACTGAGGAAAAGTCTCCTGGAAAGGGCCAGTCCAAGAGAACCCTAGCAGAGTGCATTTCAACTGCAGATGACGAGGAGTGGTCGGCTTTGGAAGGCGTTACTCGAGTTAATAGTCTGCTAAGCCTTCCAAGGTTTATGTCTGGTGAGAGGAGATCAGCCAGCTGGAGAAAGTGGCTCTGACATTTTCTTGTGAATTAGTGTTTGTGGCCTTAAATGATGATTTTTTTTTTCCCCACCTTCAATTTTGCATCACAGTTTCTGTTTTATTAATTTGGAAAGGGAATTAGTCTGTTGTGATTCAGTTGATGTAAAATATGTGTAATTTGAAGTTTCCATTTCCAGAAGCAGATTTACCATAATAAGCAAACACCAGAAGAAATGTTTAAGTTTATAATGTGGGCTGTGGACTGGAGTGGACTCTGTGTGGCGAAATTGAGCTTCCACTTGTGTGAGTTATATCTCTTCTGATGAATTCAGTTTCATGCTTAAATGTCATCACGTTGATGTTTCTTTATTTATGTCGTTTTCTTTGTTCATTCCAATTCATATTGTTTTTTTCTTGTCGTTCATAGCTTATTGTCGTTTTATTCTTTTATATTTTTTTATTGGCGTCGTTTTTACTTCTTTTTACTTTTTTTTTTTTTTTTCCGTTTCTAGTTGTTAATAGTATCTTAGTTTATTCATTCATTCAAAAAAAAAAAAAAAAAACAAGAAAGGAAATAGTATCAGTTTATAAATTTTTTTTCCCGTTTACTTCCTTTTTATGCTATCGTTTCAGCTGATTATGCCGCATCGCGCGTTTTAGTCCATGTTGCTTTTAATTAGCTGTCGTTTTGATGCAATGGAGCTCAATTTATAAACATACTAATTTTAACTCGTCGCAGGTAACGTTGTAGGCATGGGATTTTGTTAGGTTGTGTTCGGTAAAACCGGAGTAAGAAAAAGAGAGATATATGACTTGGATGAAGAGAAATTGGAGCGCGGATATATAGAAGAAAAAATTAAAGAAAATTGGCATTTTATTTTTCAAGTAAGAGAAAATACGAATTGCCAATGTATGCTATATATATATATATATATATTATCTGTTGATGTGTATATCAATGTGTATACATATAAAAGGTAGTAGTGGGGCTGTGAAAGTCATGGCGGCGGGGTTGGGTTATGATGACATTGCTAACGAGTAGCTACGGATAAAAATACATAACATATATATCTCTTGTCCGTGGGAATTATGAATTGAGTATGAAAGGTATTGGAGAGTAAAAGCAGCAATTATGAAATATCTCTTGTCTGGAGCGAGCAGACAAGGGATCTTCATGACCCTTGTGTTTCAATTTCATGATCTTCGATCTCACTCATTAATTTCCACACACACACATATATATACACACACACATCTATGTGTGTGTGCATACATACATAGATACATGTGTCCATATAACTATGTGTGTGTTGTATGAGAGAGAGAGAGAGAGAGAGAGAGAGAGAATGTACAGGACTACTACCGGGATACAGTGGGCGAGCGAGAGAGTGTTTGGTGCGAGCGTTCTCTCTCTTTGGACTGCACCATTAAATACCATTGTTTGGTAGTGATTTGTACTCTCGAGATGCCTTTTCTGCCTCTCTCTCTCTCTCTCTCTCTCTCTCTCTCTATATGTGTGTTTTACATTATATATGCCTCCACAATACATGATGCACCTATGTATATATCTATATACATACTGACACATACGCTCATAATTATTTTATATACATCTTCATTCTTCACCCAAAAAGAATGATATATATAGGTATTTAATTGCTTCTTCTACTTCTTTTATAGATATGATCATGACCGTGTAAGGTCAACAATATGCCTTTTGCACGCCAAACCAAAAGGAGAGGCCACGTAATTGAATTATTTTCTGATCTACTTCAGTTTTTGTTTGCTTTGTGTTTATTCGTTTGCATGAGCAAAATAAAATTCTCTATGATTTAATAAAAAAGACTATTTATGTTTTTCTTTTTTAACTTTTGTTTTTATTCTTGATAGCTTCTGTGTGCATATATCGTCTACGTATTTTTACAGCTTTATAAGCTTGTGGCTGTTGTACATACACTCGTACATATATATATATATATATATATGTATATGTAGCAATATTATATCATTGTATTGTTGATTTCTTTTCTAACTAATTAACGGCATATATATATATATATATATCAATTCTATAAGATCCCGCATATTAATTGTTAAACAAGGTACGCCCGCAAATGATGATGACTGGCTACATATAAACAAGCTAGTTAGTTAGTTAGGATTAACATTTCCATATATATGAGCCCTAAAGCAGCTTGAAGAGAGTAAAAACTGAAAACAGAAAAGAAAAAGTGACTTTTATATATATTACGCGCACGTGCGTGGGGTACAGGAAGGGCATATACGGGGACAAAAAGAGAAAAAACGATTGCAATTTTACTTTGCTTTGCTTGCGTGAATTATATATCAATATATATATTTGCCACTGGCAGCAGTACCCTAAAGCTACTCACTACTGTGGGCTCTGAGTTTCAGAATTCATCATCCCTTAGGACACATACATACATATATATATATATATATATACACACACACACACACAAGGAGAGAGAGAGAGAGAGAGAGAGAGAGAGAGAGAGAGAGAGAGAGAGAGCAGCATGTAAGTTGGGCATTGATTGCATCATCTGCGGAGTACCAATTGAACCCCCCCATATTAGGAGATAAATACATATACATACACAAAACACACCTGAATTTCTTCTTTTAGCTTCTAGATAATATACTACATCATCATGTACTGATCATCCAAACTCTTTCCATTTCTATTTCCATTTTCACGGCCGCGATATATATATACCCTTTAAATACTCTTAATTAGCATATATATTTATTAATGTTACCATTTTGAATATTGATTTTGATTCCCGATGTATGATATCCAATAGTACTACTCTATTCCACGCTAGCCTGTTTTTTTTTTTTTTTATTACTATTTAATATAGTACCTGAGAATTACGTTTGTTCTTGAGCCGATACACATTTATTCCTCATCTTCTCTCCATTACTTTTCGAAGAAAAAAAAACATAGCATTTCCAACCGCCGGTAGTCCTACAAATAAAATTTAAACTGCCCTTCTCTACCCTTCCATATATTTCCGCCATTGGATCACTTAAAATTAGAAGATCCTCATTCAACGGATAATATTTCTTAGGGAAAGGTCTTGTCCTTTACAAAGTGGGGGGTAGCAGTCAAGTTCTTAAGAAAATTTATAAGAGGATTCTAGATACGTATAAAAAAAAATACAGATCACTTATCAAATTTTGGTGTGTAGAATGTGTAATCAATTGAATCGTGTCATGTTATTTTAAAAATTAAAGTTTCTTTTAACTAATTTATTACATAATTAATTCTGTTAAATGACATGTTATAATATAATTAGTTAGACACTAATTGAAATATCGAAAATTAAACTAGTAATCTGAGCATTTCTATAAAAAGGCAAGTCTTAAAAAAATGAATCATCAGTAGTTTTTCATTTTAATTTAACTGTCGGAAGTATATTAGAAACTAAAATCTATTTTGTATACATTTTTATTTTAATGTAATTTTGATATGATATAATGGTTAGAAACAAACATTACAGACATAAAGTCCTGCCCTAAAAAGAACCTTTTGGAAAAAAATGCATGCAGTTCTCGGATTACATTTGCCTTGTTTGTTTCAATAACTCAAACTATTGGTTAGGATTCAAATCATAATTCAGGATTTAAATTGGTATTTAGAAGAGGAAAATTGAAAGACAATTCAAACCATTAATAACAGTTCAAACTCTTAGTTTTTAGAATTTACCCTCCTAAATTCTAACAAATTATTGTCAATAGTTCAACAGTTACATATTCTACTTTTTATCTCTCTTCAATTTTAATATTAAAAATACCATAACTTCTCCATTTTAATTTCAATTAAAGATGAATCAAGCAAGTCCATTGTAATTATATTAATATATATTATATTATTGTATCAAAGATGTATAGTATATAGTTATGGGATTACATATGCGTACGTAGTAAGTAGAAGTATGTGCAATAGAAGGGCACAGTAGTAGTCTCAAAATTGAAATGGAAGAGAGAGAGAGGGAGGGAGGGAGGGAGGGAGAGAGAGAGAGAGAGAGAGAGAGAGCACTGCCCACATGCCATGATGACGCGAACGAATCCAACAAAGAGAGACAAACAAGGAAAAACAGGTGTCAGCGGCTAAGCCAAACTGTGGGGTTAAGTTATTGCTGCTGCAGTACTAGTAGTACGTGTGTAAAAAAGTAAAAATAAAAAATAAAATATTCCCCATTTAAGGCTTTGCGTGTAATTCTTGTTGTTCTATCCATCCACAACCCCCCAAAAGGATAATAAAATTAAATAAATCAAAATAAAGTCAAGAAAAACTACTCCGTGCAATTGCAAACCATATCAGCAAAATTTAATTTAAAAAAACTACTACTTTATCATATGCATCTCCCCAGCTCCTATTTAATCATATCCACTAAAAGTTTTTTCTTAATAATCCAATATAATAGATGTGTTGTAGTTCTAAATTAATAAACTGATCTAAAACTTATGATCACTCACACAGATAATATATATATATATATATTACTCCATGGTACTTGAAATTAAAAAGAACGATGTTATAAAGCACTGATGGTGTTAAACACTACTATCTAATAAGGGTTCGTTTAGTTTGAGGATTTAAATCATGTGATTCGAATCATTTTTTATTTACGTGTATTTTTTATGAGAGAAAATATTATAACGAATCACGAATCATGATTCGAATCAGGGAACGAATCCCTCTACCAAACGCCCCCTAAAAAGTAGGTTTCACAATATGAGACTACTGCAGATGAAGTTCACTTTTTATTAGATAATGATGCTTAATATCAATGGTACTCTTTAACACTTTTCAATATATTAGAAAAAATATATATATTTAAACAAGATAATAATATTTGACAACGTAAAAGAATAGTCATTAAAAAACCACTTTTATATATATATATATATAACTGGCCATATATAAGAAAATTAGGTGGAAAGAAATGTGCAGGAAGGAATGTTCACAGAAACTAAAAGAACCTTTTAGCAGAGAAGGATCGATGTAGTTAGAATATTTATACCTGAAACTGCATGCATGTGTGTATGTATGCTTGCTAATTAATAATAAATACATCGTCTGGGAAAGATTCTTCCCAAGTTTGGGGAATCTTTTTATGCCTCTTTGCTATCTAATTTGATAATATCCCTATTAAATTTCTCACTTTTTTATTTTTACGTTTATTTAATGTTATATATACACATATATATAGCTCCTCCAATCAAAAAGGCAAAAGTAGTTAGCGAGCGACTTGTATCGATCCCAGCTCGAAATTCCAAGTATGGTTTTTTGTCAAAGGAAGTAATAAATACGTATATTTGTTATAGCAAGGAATTTAAGGGATCCTGCCAGTGCCAAAATACTAGAAAACATATATAAATTATATTGCATGTTATATTATAATATAGATATAAATTAAAAATCTGATTATAAAAATAAATAATAAATAAAACGAAAATAGTAGAAAATATGCCAATATGAAAAGCTTAATAAAATATATAGGTCAATTTTTAGTTATAGAAATTAATAGGCCATAACTTGTCAAGTTATGGTTCATAACCAGATAAGTTATGGACAAACTTGTCAAGTTATGGTTCATAACCAGACAAGTTATGGACAAAAATAATAATTTGGCCTATTTATTAACTTATGTAAACTATTGACCTATTAATTTTAATTCATCTCAAGTCTTGACCTATTTCTTTCTTTTTCTCCCTGAATAAAAATCTGAAGTGAAGTAGCTAGCTAGTGATCCGCTAGGCGTGTGGTTACTACTTACTGGGTTCAGCATCTCCAGACACGTCCAAAATTATTAAGGGAAATAATTAAGGCATAGGATTTTTCAATGGACCCTCCCTTAACTTATAATAAATTAATTAATTAATGTAATGTATGCAATGTATGTTTGCTTCTTGAGACATATATATATATATATATATATGGTCACCACCACCATTCCATGTGCGCCACCCGCTTCCATGAAATTATTTCATTTGGATTCACGAATGAAGAAATTACTGCTGATGATGATCAGGGCCTCAACTTGGGCTGCTCATCACTTATCTTAGGTGATCTACCTTTCAACCCATTCAATATTAGTTCATATTTTTCATTTATCTTAAATATTTTTGCTATAAGAATGTCTATATATATCTTATGGCATTATATATTACTTAACAAGATCAATACTGATGGTTCATCTAACGGAGCCCCTAGACTGTTTGTTTGTGGAGGTATTTTCAAAAATGTTAAGGGGTTTTTTGTGGTTGTTTTAGTGTCTTCTTTGGGAATGGTTTTGCTTTTCAAGCTGAATTATACGCTGTGATCAATGCGATTTCTATTATTGTCTATCAGAATGGACACATATATTATTTAATAAGGTATATGTAATTAATATAAAGACACATATTAATTGGAGCGGCCGGTTGGCTCTGTTCATGGTTTTAAAGTTAATATATATACATAAGGAAAACCATCTCTTTAATTTGGGCTAATACTTAATTAGTAGTAACTTAACATTAAATTATAATGTAAATGGGATATATACATACATATATATATATATATATATTCATATGTGTTATTGGAGAGATCACTAGAGGGGAGGAACAGTAGTACTACGAGTACTGAACATGACTAAACTACTGCAAGCTTAAGCTTTTCTGTTTTGGCCCTGTAAATTTAATTCTGGCACATCAGATAAATCATGATGCTTTTGCTTCCTCATCAAAAAAATAAAGTAAAATAAAATAAAAAGCTGCTTGGCCTTCATCCGTCTCGTGCTAGAAATACATATTACGTTAAACCACACAAATGCAAAACATTCATTTAAATATAACACAAATATATGTTATGGCCATCCATAATTTATATCTCCCCTTCCAAATTCTAATTATACATCTTTAAAGAAAAACCCTTCTTTCCCGAAAGTTTCTTCAGCTACCTATCTAGAGCTATATCTATATAGCAGCTTATTTCTTGTTATTATTATTATTATTATTGTCATTCTATGCGTGTGTACATGTGTGTGTAAATAATTATATTTATATATAAATAGATATATTCACACACTGCTAGCTAGCGCATCTACAAATATTTAGTTATAATATGGAGATATGTGTGTCCATTTGCCCCTTGGATCTAAAGCACTAGTTTTTCCCCAATATAAATACCTGGTGTCAACACACACATATGTTGTATGGTACTGCTTCTGCTCTCTCTAATATTTATATATATATATATATATATATATATATTTACATATGTATGTATATGGCTTCTAGTATGGCCACTATAGTAGCAGTACTGCAGCTACAACCGTGTGAGTACCAATGAGCTCATCCGCATTATATATGTGTGCGTGTTGAAATTGATAGTTGAGAGCAAGCAAAGCTAGCTATAGATCCGAAATAACCCAAATCCAAATTAGCTGAAAAGAGAAAGTAATATGCTGATGGGGTCATTCAATTCTCGAGAAGAAGATCAAGGAGAAGAAGAATTAGAAGCGGCGGCCACTAATATACGAGATCTGGAAATATACCACCGCCAGCATCAGCATCAGCATCAGCATCAGCAGCAGCCTATTATATCCTCAATATCCGCAGATCGTATTGATTTAACCGCACCACCACCACCAGCAGTTGCTCCTCCGCCATTACCAAATGCGGCACTTCACATCCGCCAATTACTCATCCGCTGCGCCGACCTCATTTCTCACTCGGACTCCGCCGCCGCTCACCGCCTTCTCTCCGTCTTGTCCGCCAACTCCTCCCCTTTCGGCGACGCCACCGAGCGCCTCGTCCACCACTTCTCCAGAGCCCTCTTCCACCGCCTCAACAACACCACCACCATAACTAGTACTACATATTCTTCAATACTAAGACCGGATGTTCATGATACAGTCGAAGCAGAGTCTGACATTGAGGCAGTGCATTCCTCATACCTAACCCTAAACCAGATAACTCCATTCATAAGGTTCTGCCATCTGACTGCCAACCAAGCCATCCTTGACGCCATTGACGACGGACAACAAGCCCTCCACATCCTGGACTTGGACATAATGCACGGCCTTCAATGGCCTCCCTTTATGCAGGCCCTCGCCGACCGCCCTTCTCCTCCGTTCCTCCGCGTCACCGCCACCGGCACCGACTTATCCCTTCTCCGCAGAACCGGGGACCGCCTTCTCCGATTCGCCAACTCCCTCGGCCTCCGCTTCCAATTCCACCCTCTCCACCACCATCACGACCACGATCTCCCTCTCCTCCTCTCCTCCTCCGCTTTAGTCCTCTTCCCCGACGAAGCCCTCGCCGTCAACTGCGTCCTCTTCCTCCACCGTCTCCTCCGCTTCAGCGACCAACAACGCAATCTGGTAATCCTCAGCTTCCTCAATACCATCAAGGCTCTGAATCCGAAGGTGGTGACCATCGCCGAGCGAGAGGCCAACCTCAACAGCCACATCCCCGCCCTCTTCATGCCGACTTTCGTGGAGGCCTTGGACCACTACACCGCCATATTCGACTCCCTCGAGGCCACGCTTCCTCCGAGCAGCCGCGACCGCCTCGCCGTCGAGCAGATTTGGCTGGCCTCCGAGATTCTGGAAGTCGTGGCAGGAGGAGCGGAAGATAACAACAATATTGAAGATGAAAGGCGGCGGCGGAAAGCCCAGAGGTACGAGGCGTGGGAGGTGATGCTGGGGAGATCGGGGTTTTCGAATGTTGCGTTGAGTCCGTTCGCCCTTTCTCAGGCAAAGCTTCTCCTCCGTCTCCATTATCCTTCTGAGGGTTATCGGCTTCGCATCCTCAACAGTTCTTTTTTCCTTGGTTGGCAGAATCGTCCTCTTTTCTCAGTATCTTCCTGGCACTGATCATCTTCAGCATCAATATTATACATATCTATATAAATGATTCCATATATATATATATATACATAATTAATGAACATCTCATGAAATGTTCAATATGTAACGCATCAAATTATCATTAGGCGCAGCTAATAATTATGGTAAGGTATAATCATGTAGCACACCCCAAAAACCAACAAGGAAATTATTAGCGGAAAGTGATCATTGATTGTCCAAATTTGAGTCCTAAAAGAGTAATGATGGAATAAATAATATTCAACATGAGACATCATCAGAAGACACTAGCAGCTGCAGTTAGTTTCATCACCTTAATCGGCCTGATCTAGCAACAAAATCCCGCCAAAATTTATTTGCTATAGCTACTACTTAATTTCTCATATATATATTATATGCATGCATAATATATATATATATACATATGTAGAAATTGGAACCCTACCATTTCAATACCATGCAATTTCTCATGAGAAGTGGTTCGGTTGTTTCTTGGAGTTGGGGTTGCTCATGAAACTAACTGATCGCCTACTACTACTACTACTACTATATCTTCTTATACTTAATTATAGCTAGCTAGTTAGGTTTCATTATTTTTGTTTTAATTAGTTTTTCTTATATTACTTTTAATTAATCACTACTGTAACCAATTGCTCCTCAATCTTTTGGAAAGAAACAATATATTTGTCTGAGTTGTGAATTATTAGTAGTGGAGTATATCTCATCCTTTTGATAATTAACATACATTTCGTGCGTTAGATTGTTTTGTCTCATTGCATATATATATATATATATATATATATTGTCGTTGCTTTTTGATTAATATAAACATTTCTTTTGATCACCTCATCTTTCTTTATCAAAACCAATAACATTATAATTTAGTAATGCTTTTGAAGATTCGGTTGCTTATCTGAAATGATGTATATGTGCGCGCGCGTGTCATCATGCACACTAATTACACTATTAAGATACATATATTTTTTTTAATCACAAAAACATAGCTAGGTATTTATTTTTGTGTCTGTCTAAAATGATTGTAGATATACATGGTAATAGAAAAGGAAGAAACAAATATTATAGAAAAGAAATTCTAGGCAGTGATATGATCGACTTTAATATTAATTGTTTCCTAAATCAAATTCCCCTGATCAATGTTGTCAATTGTAGTACTTCTTTCAATATGTACATATGTCGTTGTGGTAGCAGCTTGATTAATTTCAAGAAGGATCGAAGGTAGCTAGCTAGGGACGAGAGCATGCATGAGGGTTGTTGTTTTTAACGAACACTAATTTAATTTAATTTTTCCTTTTTTTTATATATAATATATAAGACGAAGCGTATATTCCTGTTGGTTTGTCTAATTTTGAGATTACAGCCATCTAATTAATTATTAATTACCCTAATTCGTGCCTTGTGTCCCCTCAACAAAAGCATCAAAGTTGTCAAAAATAGAGGATTTCATGCTCACATTGTTTCCTCCTCCTACGACCAATTTGCATTTGGAGATCCCTCCTGCTCCTGCTCATCTCCTGCTTCCTTCCTTGTTATTAATTATATATATATATATATATATATA